GCTACTGCTGTTGTTCTGTCCAGATTTGAGGGTGGCTATTGCATCCTAAAATAAGCTTTGGAAGGGCTTCATCTTGCAACATTTTTTTTAATAATAAAAATATTTCCCGTATTTTTAATGGTTGAAGAGGCACTTAGATTCTTGTGTAGGATCACTCAGTAGCATTTAAAATGAACTAAAGTAATTTCAGTTTTTTATGTATAACATTTAATGAAATCAGGTATTACTAATTGTATGTAACCCTGTTAACAGTTGATTAAAGAAGAAATTGAGAGTTGACCTTATTCAGTACCAGTAATATAAACCTGAGTGCAATCCACATGATAGTATGAAGCATGAGTTATACTTCCAGGAAATGCCAAGTTGCAAATTGAATTTTGGAAGATTTATCCTGGTAAAGTTCTACCATTACTTTGCATGGTAGAATAGTAACAATAAATGCATAGCAAAAGCTTTCATATAGTGACCAGTAGGAATTGTCATTGGTGAATATGATCTGATAGACATAGACACAATGCTATTGTCCATCTAAAATAAGATCTAAATTGTAGTAAAATATTTAGACCTGTAGCAATTCCTGTACGCTTCTCAGAATATAAAGGCATAAAAGTCCTCTGACCTGTAGGGCAAATAAAAGTGGATTTTAGAACAGACAGAAGTCCAGGAACAATACAGAAAAATTCAACCACCACACCTCCAAATGGTTACTCAGCAGTAAAATGGAAAAAAATCTTCTGAAGAAGAAAAATTCCATGGGCTTGTAGAAAAGCGCTGAACTAGTGCATGCTGGAGCTGGAAACTAGAGGGTGAAAAGCAATGAAAGAAACTTAGGATATCATCCTTCCTCCCCTAAAGTAACTGATCTTCTTCATCAGCCCATTATACAGCAGTGCTATTGAAAAGTCTGTAACAGGAGGATAATATTTCATGTACCTAAAGTTTTCAAAGGCAAGCTGTAGCTGAATGAAAAAACATTTTTTCAGGGCATTTGCAGGGCTGCATAAATGCAATGGCAACTACTCAGATATTGCATCTATACTCAGCTGATGAGAAAAGTTTATTTAGCAAAGCCATTAAAGCCTGATTAAAATTTGATGGGATGATAGGATAAATGTGGTAAGTCCACTGAGGTCTGAATTGCTGCCAGTATTGATTAACACCCATAACACCCCAGTGGGAATCCTATCCAAAGCATATTTCAAATCTAAGCCATGGGAATCAGAATAAAGCCCTGGATAACAACCGCCATATCATTCAGATGAGTGGTTTATGTCCCTATATAACAAGGGAATGAAATGAGAAAATGGAAAGTTGCCAAAGGATTGATTTGACTCACAGATGTATGTGGGAATTTGCAAATGCTGAAAATATGAGGCCAGATTCATACCTGGTATAATTTCACCAACTTAGTTCAATTTTCCAAGGGTTAAATATGGCCCATAGTCTCTGTCCTGATCAGCTTAAATCAGACAAATATTTTGATATATTGGAAGATAACAGTTTATAGGTGACATGGAAACTGTTGCAGAAGTGACTTACAGAGAGACTTGAGAGAGAGAAGACTGTTTTGTTGACAAGAAAAATAGTTGTTCCAAGTGCAAGGCTGGCAATGAAACAATATAAAAACAAGCATGAGAAGGGACAGAGGAGAACAGATGCAGAAGAGGATTCAGAGAAATATACAGAGGGAGGAGGAGGACAGAATAAAATCGCAACTGGTATGTTAGCAAGTCTGTCATTTCTTTAAAGGTGGAGATAAGAAGCTTGGACTTTTTGTGTCAAGGCAGAAGCCCAAAGAAATTTGAAAGAAGGAGGGAGAGAATGGCAAAAGCATAAGATTGTTTTTAACTCAGGCATTTCTGCTATACCGGTGAGGCAAATACTGAGATTTGGAAAGAGCAGAAAAAGGTTATGTTTTATGAAAAATCAGTCAAGCATGGTCTAGATTTGAAAAAGCACAAATTAAAAAAGGAAGGAATGAGTGCTTGTGATCCAAGGGGACAAAAGGTTAAGGGAGGTGTTGCAGATGAGTCTGAGGTTTGTTGAAAGAATGGAGCTGTTAACAATGATAAGGAGGAGGTAAAACCTAGAGCTTTGGGGGGAGTTGGTTTTGTTTGGCACTTTGTTGCAGGGTGGGAGGGCTTGGTTGGTTGTTATGCAAAAGTAAGTTACAGGAGCTTTGTTCCAAATCCTAATTCTACAGTTAGCTAAAAAAAGTTACCCATACAGGGTAAGTGTGAAGAGTATTAACAGTTTACAACCAGCTTAATACATTTTGAGTCAATTGAACATTTAGAATTATTAAATAAAAAGCAAAACCTGAATCCTTGTGGCTTCATTACATAAAATATTGGATAGGGTTCATGTCCTTCCTTTATTAGAAGAGGCTTTAAGTATTTAATAATATTCTCTTTTGTCTCTCTTTGCTTAATTGCTAGATGGAAAGTTTTTATTTAAAATATGTGTCACTGGCATGGTTTGAACTCTGAGAAGTTCCCCTTATTCTTGCAGTAGGGGCCTGTGATAGGGAATGTCATAGGCCCATAAGAGGGGATGGCCTTTTGTAAAATGTCTGGTTATCACACTTGTGTCTTGACCCTCAGCTGAGTGTCATCTGCAGAACTCACTGCTTACAGGTGGCTTTGATGGAGACAACAAAGGAAGGGGTTTGCTTATGGGTGTGACATGATGGCTCAGAGAGATCTGCCTCTGCTTTTGCATAGGGAATTTAGAGACAAAAAGGCTCCAGAGCACTAATACAAGAGGAACAGTGAGAATATTCAAGGGGAAAAGTTGCTATGGATGAGTCATAAATAGCTGGTTTCAAAGAAATGTCATGAAACATGCTTTGTTTGGAGAAGTCTGTGAGATGGCTGTGGTGTTTGGCCACTGATGGAAGCATGGCTCCTTAAATACAAGTGCTGCTGAGAAGTATGATGAGGCTATGAGGTGTTTTAGATGATGAGCTGTGTTAGTAGCTGAATTTTTGCATTCTGATATGTTGGCTTAGAATAGCAGCTTGGAAACCGAACCATGCAGCAACCATGCGTATCTTCCTTTTACCATTTTCTTTGTGGTTTTGGTCTTGTTTTGTTATAACCTGACATAGTAGTACTGGTCAGTAACTGGTGAATGTTGCCTGTAATGCAGGTTTTTGTATACTGCTGCACTTGGGCTTTTCATCCAACTGATTTTATGAAAGGAATTGAAAGAGTTTCAAGACACTCTGCAAGTTCTACAAATTGCAGAATCCATGTTGTCTCTGCCTTTTCTGTTCGTTGTTTGTCTGTCTTTCTGTTTGTACCCAATAGAGTTTAATTGAACAATAGCAACTTTAGGAACTAGTTCCTCCAACTTCTTTATAGGCAAACAGCTTTTTCAATTTAGCAGCCCCTTATGCACAGTAAATGACTTGCCATTTAAGAATGTATAATGACTTACCATTTAAGAATGTACAATTTCTTAAGTATGTGTATAGTATATATGAGGCAGGTCTTAGTCTAGTATTGCTTCATCTTGGAAGATAGATTAATAATGTGAGAAGCAAGTAATACCAAACTTCTCCCTGTCTGGGGTTTTGTGGTTGGATTGTTTGTTTGTGGGGTTTTTTGGTAACCTTAATTACATCTGAGTGCTAATTCCTTATTTCTTTAAATGTTTATATCCTGACTAGCTAGATATAGGCCCCAAATCATTGAATCCTGATGGAAATGCTGAAATACTTTGCTGATCAGGGATAAAGTTAAGCACATCCATACAGTTCAGCCTATTGCTTTGCTGAATCTAATTAATTTACTGAACTTACTGTGAACTTCTCCCCTACAAAAATCATCTTGCTTAAATGTATGAGCTAAGCAATAGAAAAGTCCTGAATGCTGCTCAGGACACTGCTACTTGTCTGTAGCCCAATGCTGAAGGTGTTGAAAGAGAAAATGGAAAGTTAACTTGCTTGCAGGGAAGAGTTGTTTGTTTTACTTTAGCTGTTCCTGCTATCATAAAAGCCTGGCTCACTGAATAATCCATGAGAAGCTAAATGTCTGCTAGCTGAGGTCACAAAAATACTGCTGTAAACAGTCTGCTGTAAATGGTAGATAGGGCAGATCTAAACCAGGCAAAAAGCCCATAATCAGGTTTGTGTCCAGGTACTCACTTGGTCCCTACTGCTGCGTAATTCGGGAGTCTTCTGATTTAGGAGGTACACAAGCATTAAATCTAACTTTGTGGATGGGAAACTGAGGCCCACCAAGACTGACCAGATGGACAAGCATAGGTAACAACATAACTCTTATTTGTGTATTCAACTGCAATAGATTTCAGTACGAGTTAAGCAGCTTAATGCATTCATGGGTCTGGGCTTAACAGGCTTAGTCAGCCAGGAAGACCAGAAAAGCTACACATGGCCCCTGAATTTCAGCCCAAATCTCCTTTTTAATCTACTGTTCAGAGATTGTATGGTGTTAGGTGCAGAACAGGCATGAGGTAAAGCTCCAAACTTTTTCTAGGTTTGTGGGTTTTTTGCTTTGGGTTTTTTTTTTTTTTTTAAACAAACCCCCCCAAAAAACCCAAAAGTGAGGTAACAGCAGTACTTTATGCAGACGATCAAGGCTGAGGCAAGAAAAAGAGGGCTTTTTGTTTCCTGAGGTCATGGAATAAGAGATTAAGAGAGAGGATTTTTCTGTGTGTTGTCATTCTTCTATCAAAAAATAGTGTTTGGGGAAAGTGTTCTTAGTAACTGAGGATAAAAGACATTAAATGCTGTCAGTTGAAAGACTGTGGAGAGTGTGAAAATGTGGAAGAAAAGGGGGGGATAAACTGCACAATGACAGATGGGATACCTTGCACTGCTGAGCAAGTTAAATACTTGAAAAAAACAAGCTTGCAATGGGCAGGTTGGCTAGATGGGTTACAAATGTATTTTAAATACGAGCTGTAGTTAATATCACTAGTGCAAAATTTATGAAAACTAGCCGTGTTCTTTGAACTTGCACCTTTCCTTGCAGAAGCATGATGGCCACTTCACAGTGATCCAGCTGGTTGGCATGCTGCGGGGGATTGCATCTGGCATGAAGTACCTCTCAGACATGGGCTATGTACACCGTGATCTGGCAGCCCGAAATATCTTGGTCAACAGTAACCTCATGTGTAAAGTCTCTGATTTTGGTTTGTCACGAGTGTTAGAGGATGATCCTGAAGCTGCTTACACAACAAGCGTAAGTTTGTCTTATCTAATTTGAACAGTTGATTGCCTTGTGCCTCTCTTATTCCAGTTTCAGATTTGTCTATGCCATAGCAATAGTAGTTTGAATTGGCTTTGTTCCGTTCTCCATCCATGTGGTTTAATAGCACTGCCAATGTGTTTAAGGGAAGTTGTTTTGAATTTTGGCTGTGTAAGGGGTGTATAATAAACTTTGGCAAAACTTTTTTTTAAGCAAATGTGCAGGTGTAAGTGGGAGACTTTTTCCATTCTTGTTTGGGTTTTGTGTTTGCTTTTTGTTGGGGTTTTTTTCCCCACATCGTTTCCACTTCTGCTAACTTGTGTTAATTTATGAAGATATGCTTTTAAAAGGGCGGAATGGGGGAGGAGAGAATCTCACCAATTCCACTTTGTGGAAGTGTAGTGTCAAGCCTTGCATTCATAAATTCAAATTTGCATTTCATTTTACTTAAATATTAATGAAATGAGACTTAAACCTTGAGAGAAAGGTCCTACATATCCTGTTAGAACGTAAACTTAAGATCCTTATATGATGCAAGTAAATTGTTATAGTGGAAAATGGGTTTGGGGTGGTTTTTTATTTGGTTGGTTTGGTTTGTGGTGTTGGGGTGGGTGGCTTCCACTGAAGTGAAAAATCCTTGAATGTGGAGAAGCTTGTACAAATTTGACTTAGAAGAAAAAAGGAAATTGCACCTGCAATATGAAAGAAGTAGGGAAAGGAGTGTGTTGGTGCTAATAAAATTACAAGTTCAGATACAGCATTTTTTCATCATACCAAAATGTTCAGTTACATTCCTGTTATGATTATTATCACAACATTAAGAATTGTAGCTAATGATAAGCTGATTTCAAGTAACTTTCATATCTATCACTGAAACTAAAATTATTTCAGAGTCAGAATACATTCTCATTAGTACTCTCACAAAATGCACAGAATTTGTATGTTCCCAAGATAGGGCACAGTGACAGAATTCTAATCAAGATAATAAATTAGCATTAAATAATTTATTTTGACCTATTTCAACCTCTCTTTCTATTTCACTTTAAAAAGTGACGTATGGCCAAAATGAGGAACTCATCTAATTTAACTGTATTGTAGTAAGTACTCTGGTGTATCTACTGAATTCAATATAGCTATTGTAATGGGATTACACATCTTTTTTTTTTTTTTTTTTTTTTTTTTTAATCTTAAGCCTAAAATAGGGTTCTGATAAATTCACTGTAAATCCCACTTCTTAGAACAAGGTCTACACAGAACTGCAAGCTGACTAGAGCACAACAAGTCACTTTGCAAAGTTTTCTATCAGTATTAATATGCAAGCTGGGAAAAAAAAGTGTAGTTTTTTTCCTTTATAGGGGAGATTTCCCTCATTTAGTTCTCCAAACCTCTTTTGCTTCACACTGCTTCTTACTATGAGGCTTGAAAGGAAAAATAAACATTACTGCAGCTTAACAAGTTATCACTTGCTGGCTGAGCCTTGCTAATTGTCTGTGTGAGTGTGCTCAGCTGGCAGCAAATGCCCCCAGTGACAGGCAAGTTAACTTGCATTGCTCAGCACTGATCATGGGCTAATCAGCTCAGCTGGTGGAATGCACTGGAAATTGCCAAGCAGTCTCTCCCAGTAAGGTTCAGGAAAAAATACTGAATGATAATTTGAGGCTTTCAGCTATTATTTATCCTGTAAGTTTCTAACGGATACCAATACCGAACAATTATTTTTTCAGAATAGTTAGCGCCTGCCTCTTTCATCGTAGCTAGAGCCGTTTTTAATCAGGAAATGATATGTTGTTTAAAAAAAAAAAAAGGACTATTTCATGGCAATGTGTCTGTGTTGAAGGACTTTCTTGAAAGATAGGACAGGCTTTGATGAAATGCTCACTATTTTCCTATTGGTTCACCTAGCTGGTTAACAGGAGAGTCTGTGAGGCAGCTGTTACAGGTGGAACACCTCAGAGCCTTTGCTTCAGTCCTCCAAGGTTGCAGCCACATGCTGTACCAGAAGCAGGTATCTATAGCGTGTCCATTAGGATACTGCAAATAAGGAGGGGGCATTACAGAGGCTGATGGCCAGTGGCAGGACCCTGTGTCAGCCAGACATTTAAGGTGAGTCTGCTTCAACCATGAACTCCCCAAAGAACCTCAAAAAGCTGTGAAACTCAGGTGGGAAAATGCTGTTTCATTATAACATGAACTAGAAACTTTGTAAATAGGAAGAATTCAAAGCAGCAGTCAGACATAATAGAAATTAAAAGCATTTTAAATCACTCATTCTTTCATCCCAGGCCCCTCTGTTCTTGCAAGTGAGTCTTCGCATCCAGACTTTCAATCACTGTGGCTGAGTCTGCCCAATATTCTTCTGTCACCTCTGGTCCTTAGGAAATGTCTTTCCCTCATCCCTGAGGGTAGACTGACTGCTCCAGTCCCTGTTCCATGTTTCAGTCATTCTGTATGATCTGGTGATAGCCAAGTTTTCTGCGGGATGCTCTTGCCTGCCATATGCTCCATCCTCTGGGTCTTGCTCCAATTGAGCAGGTCCCGTAGATGTTCCCTGTAGGGAGTCCGATAGTCCTGTCATTTTTTTAAAAGGAATGCAGCACAATTACGGCCAAAAGTTGGGGGGAAAGAAAGAAAGAAAGAAATTTTTGTCACAGTGGCTATGGAGGACTTGGTGAAGACTTTCACCCTTTAAGCAGTCTATCATGGTAACAGAAAAGAATAGGACCCCACACTGGATCTCATGTCTTCTTGCAGCTTTCACTGACCATTGTTATGTCATTGACCTGTCTCTTCATCATAAACGTCTTCCCAGCACAGCAGGCCATGTGTATTACTAGAGGTTTTTATAGCATCTATTTAGTTCCATACTGTGCCTTTGCCATATGAAGGTTAAACCCTCAGTGCTTTCACAAAGGTTCCAGTGCAATTCGTGTTTCCTCTCCACAGGGATTTTTCTTGATAACAGCCCAGTACCTGTAGCTACAAGAAATCCATAGAGTGGATCTGTATATTGAATAGTATTATTTTTAGGCTCATGTCTCCTAGTACACCACTGTCTGTCAGTGCTCAGAAGAAACTGTGATTATTTTTTATTCCCATTTTTGTCTTGGTTCTGGTGTCAGAAATAGAATAGTACAATTGAATGTTTTCTTTGGAAACAAGGGCTACAAGACAACATAAGCCAACCAGAAGACAAAAATTAGAATTTTATATCCACACGTCCGTGATGCTGTGGTCAATAATGTGTGAATGCATTCCCAGACATAAAAATTGTAAATTGATGCAAAAGACAAATCAAAATTTATAAAGCTGTCATGCTCTGTGGCAAAACAGGTTGCAGCCTCACAAAAATAAGCTGAAAGACACTCTTACCTTGTGCATTTACCACATCTGAGCAGGCACAGCCTTGAGTCAGATGATCGGCATCTTTTGCTTTGTCTTCCTGTTGTCATCCAATATACAATTCCTCTTTACTCACTGGCTTAGAATAGATCTTTTGTTCTTTCTATTGGCACATCTTCCCACATGCAGGGCAAAAATCAGGAATTGATGACTAGGAAAAGCAATAACACTGATAGGGAGAATCTGGAAAGGAGACCACCTAGAAAATGGCTACATTCTGTGCTCACACTGAAACACTACTTAAGAGACTATATTCAACTAAGCAGTGATGGGAAAACCTACAAATGCCCCAAAATTACACAGTTAAAGGTCATTATGTTTCCCAAGAATTTTGGACTGACACTACTGGTCGGAGAGCTGTTGAATCCTTTAAACAGTACATGAAAAGACTGAAATCTCAGAAAACAGCTTTCTGACTTCCATGAAGACTTTGGGTGGCTTTTTGGTCATCCAGCCTATTGAGACAAAGAATGTAAATATCTTTTTGATAAGAGGGTTGGTAGTAAGAGATTGGCCTCTGTTTGCTATCAAGAACCGCAAAACTTACAGCAAGATATAATTTTAGAGTAGGAAGGAGGAATTAAGAGCTAGGAACATCCGACTGCCAATCTTTGAGTTTCAGACTGATCAGAAGAGGATAAGGTAAATTTTGGGATAACTGGATAGCATGTTTTTTAGCCATGGAGACAAAATTTTCATTTTTAGTAGTGGTTTCCAAGGCAACAGTAGCTCATAAAAAGACATTTCTAGTATATAAACAAGCATTCCTGTCAATACAGAGGACATCTAGGCTCTTGCATCCCTGCTTTTAGATAGACTATGTTATATGATGTACATTCATTTAGTTTAAAACATAGTTGGGGTTCACATGTATTTCAAGAAGAACCATGAGTCTCCAGGAAAACTTTTTACATGTAGCAAAATGTGTACGTATATCAGAACAGGTCTGTAGCACTACTGCAAAAAGGACTAAACTGGTATTTCTGTTAAAGGTCACACCTTAATATTCTGATTTTTAGTGAGACAAAAAAAGCTGCTACTAACTGAATTATATGATACATAAATAAATATAGTCTAGTTTCTCTCTTACCAGCTGTATTTCTGAATTCAGCCTTAATATATAAAATACTTTCTTACTTCCAGAATACTAGCTAGAGAATTGATTTATTGCATTGCATCTAGTGAATCATTTGATGAACTTTATGGGTCTGACTCTTCTCAAGCCAGTTGGATAAAATACCCCATCCATGGAGGTTTCAAGCTTTTTAGATTCATTAAAAGAGCAAAGCAGATTGATGACAGTAATCTATATAAATGCTGGCAAGTAGCAAAACTTTGGGGGAGGATCAGGATGAGGACTTAATAATATTTACTTTGTTACATAATTTCCATATGTCAAGACATTTTCCATTTTTCTCTTACTTGTATACAAGTAATGGGTATAAGGGGAAAAAGGTTTAACTTGCTAAAAAGTGAAACAAGATGCAAATTATTTTCTAGTTAATTTGGGAAGTCAAACAATAGTTTCTGAATGACCTGAGTGCTATGACAAGCATATTGCCTAGGCATTTAAGAATTCATTTAATCAGAGACAA